TGCGTGGAAGCGCAGAATTCATAAAAACCGGGTAAGGAGCGGGTGCGGGTGTGCGGGCACGCGCGGGCGCGGGGGGGGGGGGCTTCGCCGTTCCGGGAAGTTACTTACTTCCGGCTTCGGCGACCAACCGGATCGCAGGGACCGGTGCGAACCGGTTGAAACCCACCCCTGGAAATGGCCCAACAGCTATAGTTACAGGAGTTCCAGATAGGTGCTCTGTTTGGGCCTCTGCACATTGCAATGCAGCTTTTTTATTTGAATCCAAATCATTGCACAATCGTGTTCATGTTTATTATTTCACTGCAAACATACATATTAGAATCAAACATATTTAATTCTTCCTGTGCAAAAAATTATGTTTTAAATAAGTTTTGTAATGACATGAATGAGAATTTACACCCATGAGGCATGAAGCCAGGCATGATTTCAATCATTACAAACATTGATTATGACTAGTTTTTATCTTGGCTTTTCGTACACCCAAATCTTGATTCATGCATTTTTACTGTAGGAAAGTGCAGGAGAATTCAGGTTACATTGAAGATTAATGAACATAATGAATTTGATTGTCAAAATATTGTTTCTGATGTCATATGGGGCAGATGTGGATCGGGCAAACTGGTAGTGGCAGTGGTGGGAAGCTCCGCCCACCTGCCCAGAAGCTTCTGCGCATGAATGTCCATGAGCGAACCGGTAGTAAAATAAATTGAAACCCACCACTGATGTGGAGTTTCTAAAATGTGCAAGAATTAAATAACAATTCAGCAAGTTAGAATTAATTAATGAAAAGCTGTAAAAATATTTCATTGCAATTGAAAAGCACCCCAATATTTTTTAATGGTGATTGACATTCCTATCATCGCTGCCATCCCCTCAAACTCCTTGACAGAGAACTGCCCAAGCTAATTTATATCAGATAAATTATTTTTAGCCTCAGGTTTCTTGGCCGAAAGCTCATTCCTTATTTGCCTGCTGACTTATATTTCCTGTAATAATTTGATTTTAGTTACCACTGGAGACAGGAAGCTGACCTAGATGCACTACTGGGCTGACCCAGTTATTATGGCCTGCTGTATTACCCATTTCCTTTCCTGCAGATCTCATCATATTGTACAATATCCTGTAGAACCCATTGTGGTGCACACTGTGACAGACAAACAATATGTCACAGATACAATGTATCAAACATAATTGCTTCAAATTATTTAATAAATTAAGGAGAAATATATTAAAAACGACCTCTATCTCCAATAACTAATCAGGAATATGAGGTGCTGGTATAGTATGTATAGTTTCATTTTTTGAATGTGAATGTTTGGCATATTGCTTTAATTTGTTGCTCACGTTAGACGTTTTGAAAGTTTTGCCCGGATATGTAAGTGATGTTTTAAAATAAAACTGAAATAGTTTGTAGCTTTGTAGAATTTATTATATAATATGCAGTATATTCTACAGTTCTAAGAACTTAGTAGTGTCAGGTTAAACTTTATTTTCAAACATCTGGTTGACAGCATGTAGCCCCCCCCCCTTATTTTCCTTTGCTGTGCTTAAATCTGTTATCTTGATCTCTTTGCATAGGCTACAGTGCATAGTGCTGTAATGAAAAATACTACGTTTAAGAAATGAATCTCAGGTGATGCTATTGGAGATGGATCTAAGTTACCATCAACAATTACATTGCCTTAAACAAAAAGAACAATGGAATTGTCTTGAAATTAATTACATTAATTCAATTTTTAAGTGCTTTTATATTCTGGGTGTAGAAACAAATAGAAATTATAAATCAAAAACTAAGAACAATTGATTGGGTTTCCAAATTCATATACCTACAGCTGATGATCAAATATTATTTAGATTTTTTAGATTTAAAGTTTATTTATATGCCGCCCTTTNGTGTGTGTGTGTGTGTGTGTGTGTGTGTGTACATATGCATGGGAATGTACAAGAGTGTGTACAAAGGCGTGAGCTTATGTAGATAGACATATGATAGAAAGATGATAGATAGATAGATAGATAGATAGATAGATAGATAGATAGATAGATAGATAGATAGATAGATAGATAGATAGATAGATAGATGATAGACCCTCTTAGACTTTTCTGACAATCCTTTTTATTGAACTAGATACTGCAATTCCAAACCATCTTGGCACATGGAGGGGCTAGACTGAAGAATAAAATAAATATCAAATTATTGGGAATGGACATGGGAAAACTGTAGATCTCTGACCAGGACTAATGGGTTAAAATAACAGAGACCCAGACAAGTTGTAAGCATCTGCAGTCAAAGTTTTAAATTTCAATTTCATACATCATATATCTAATTCATATTTCTAAGTTATTCAGCAGATTAAAATGGGGGGAGGGACAGATCCTTTGTGGTTCCACGGGGAAGACAGGCCTGGATTTGGGCAACAGGAAAGTTCCTTGTGCCAATTTGATCAGAGCGTAGGCTGAACTGCTCAAAATAGAGGCAGAGGCTCCAGGCCTTCTAACATGCCAGCAAAAGCCCGATTGCTTTATCAAATGCAGTCAGCAACTGAACTACTCCCACAGCATTCCTAGTAGGTACAACTGCTAGTAGAAGAGCCAAACCGGATCACTGGTAATACTTATGCCCATAGTGGCTAAAGCAGATGTTTTAGTGCTTTGGGGGCGGGTGTTTCTTTTCCCCTAGCAGAACAAATTCATTTGATCCAGCTCCAGCAGAAGCAGCAGCAGAGACAGCAGCAGCACAAGCAGCAGGACGCATAGTTACAGCACAGAGAAAGGAATTTCAAGAGCAAACTCAAACGAAAATGCTTCTGGAGTCAAGGAGATGGAGTAGAGTTTATAGGATCAGCAGATAAAAGAGCAACAACAACCCAGCTAAAGTGGAATGCTGCAGTGCCTTAATTCAAACACAACAGGAGTGGAATATATTTGGATATTAAATTGATTTTTTTTCTAAGTATACAATAAGTCCGGGGAAAAAAATCTCTATAGCATGTTCTGGAAAGTCCTGTGGGTGCCCTTGGATGTTTTGAAGGAAAGAAATGTGGAAGAACTATTTAGTATTCTGATTTGAACACTAAAACCCAGCAAACCAGTATCTTGTCACAGATCTGTACACTTAATAGCAGCAGTTTCCATGGATTGTTTGTAGTTAGTAATATGGCTGGATTCCTGTAAAAGGCCCACTCTGCCCTTTGAAGAAGGTATATGTATACCATCTTAACACCTGCCCTAAAAAGAAAAGGTTTTCCCAACATTTGCTATTGAATTCATTTCTCATGCTGTAGTTCTGTTCCTTTGCTTAGACTGAGTTTGTCAAAAGCATTGAAGCACACAAAATACCAGTCATGGGAAATACACACATTTGGGTCCTCCTGGAACAGGATTAGCTAAGAGAGATAGGAGAAGGGAGTGGGAAGACAAAGAAAACAAGAGTAGGTTGATCTTGTAGGAATAAAGAAACAGCACCTGAGGGCCTTTCCACAAATCCAGAAAACTTGAGGTTTACTCCTTGGGTTTTACATAACTAGATCACTATTCTTTTAATGTAGTGCAGCCTCCTTACAAAGGGGCAGTGTTTTCCTGATTTTATTTTACATGGGGAGATGTGTGATCCCATATTATAAAGCGTTACCACATAAAGTTCAAGCAAAAGACTGTGGATAAAATAATTGATGAAAGAGATAACAAGTTCATGAGAAGGGGAGGAAACAACTACACTCATTTCCATCAATAATATGGCTATTATCCCATGAAGATTCATGCCATTCCTTTAGCTACCATACTTTTCATGACAATTGATTTAGTTGGGCTAATCATATCTTCTTAGCCATAGAAAGGTTGTGCTTAAGAGTCTATAGGCAAAAATAAATCAACCCTACAGAAAATTTTTGACCTTTTTGCATAACAGAGCAACAAGATGTTCAAGCTGCTTATTGCCCCAATAAGGAATTGACTGGAAAGGCCATGAGATGCATATCCTTCATTATAAAACAACTCCTTCCTTATTCACAGGTAAGGAAGTGCATACTGCTGTAAGCTGTAAAAAGAGAAACAATTTTCTGATTAGGATGTAGGGGGATTTAAATAAATCCTATCAGCGATTACTAAATATTTTAAATAACTTTATATCACTATGGATGGATAATCATAATTGCTCAGAAGTAGAGGTGTAGAGGGATAATGAAGATTATGATTGAAAGAGCCTGTGGTTGTAGGCCACTGAACAGTTGGCAAAGCTTTCAAAATATGTTAAGATAACAAACTACTAGAATTCGTATTCAGAATGTCCTTTAGAATTGGGATATGTTAGCTTTATGAACCTTAACACAGGCACTATAATGTGTGAAATTGCTATTGTCACTTCATGGCTATCTAGTGGGCTTTGAGACTATGAACTGAAAGCAGGGGCAACGTGGAGGTTGGATGTGCAACTAGAAGAAGTAAACCGAGAAAGACAAGATACAGACACATAGCCCAATCCAAAGTACTGATATTTAACATACTATCTATGATATCTCCCAGGCCTTGGGAATACAACAGGTCTCTCAGACGAGCCACTTCATCTTTAAGTTCTCTGATCAGCTTGTTGTTGGGATCCTCATTAATGACAGCATTGCATCTGATTTGCTTGGCACGATCTGCATATCTGTGGGGAAAATACACATTCTAAACAAAGTAAGATATGCTGAAAAGCCCATATAGAATGTGACATATATAAGAGAATTTTAAGATTATCTCTTTTACCCAGGCCTAGAAAACTAAGATACTTCTCTTAAGGTCGTTACCTCCCAACGACCTATAAGATCTCACAGGCTGGGACCTATAAGATCTCACAGGCTGGGCCTCCCCCGGGTGCCGTCGACTGGGCAATGCCGGCTGGCGACCACTCGGGGGAGGGCTTTCTCTGTAGCTGCTCCAGCCCTGTGGAATGATCTGCCCGCGGAGATCCGGACCCTTCCCACTCTCTCGGCCTTCCGAAAAGCCACTAAAACCTGGCTGTTCCGGCAGGCCTGGGGCTGTTGATCCCCAAATACGGTCCAGCCCCATCTAGAGCTGAGTGCATGGTGTGTTGTTTTTAAATCTATGCTTTCTTTCC